ATGTGCGCATGTGCCATGTTTTGCCTCCGCCCGTTGCTCAGGTCTTGTGTGCTGGAGATGGACTGGAGACTGCTGCTGCCTCAGAAGTTCTGGTATGTTCTGGTCATTTGTGGGCCGTGGTTCTGCCAAGCTGATGACGTTGATATACGTTGATCTGTCCATATCTGCCCGGACTCAGGTCCAGATCACTTCGGTGGACATGTGCGGACGCCTCAGACCTGCTGGCAGCTGCGTTCCTCTCCTGTCTAGTCCTTGATTTCGCCAAGCTGATGACATTGATCTGCCCGGACTCAGGTCCAGGTCGCTTCGTTGATCTTCGTTGGAGACGTGCGGATGCCTCAGACATCCTCAGACCTCTTGGCAGCTGCGTTCCTCTCCTGTCTTAAGCTGTGATTGCGGATGATTGCGGCAGTTCCCAAAATTAGGGTCCCATATGGCTCCATTATGTATCATTTTATTTTGGTATCTCCTGGGCACCCTGATAATCAGGCGCTGTAATATAACCCATAACCACCATGGGCCATAATTTTGAGAACAACCATGAGCAACCCTTTTGTGTGCTGATGCGTGCTGACATGTGATGACATGTGCTGACCTCCCTCAAGTGCACTCATGTGCTGTGATGTGCTATGATTCTTCAGTCTTCTTATGTCTTCTTCAGGGCACTTCAGGACAGGTCAGTAAATTCTTAGGGCATGTCAGCGTGAGCTGATGTGAGTATATGTGAGTTATGCAGTTTTGGCTAGTTTATGAGAGCTTCGGACATTGCCGTGCCATATCATGTCCATGGATCATCCGAGCGGTTCCACAACGGACGCAGAGCCTGCAATCAAGATCAGGATCGCTACCGATTGCTCGGGCCTAGAAGCCCCTATCCTAGCCCTGCGATCTCTGTTGCCACCAAGCCGGCTGGAGCACGTCTTCTCAAGTGAGATTGACGAGGAGGCAAGAGTCCAATTGCAGACAGTGAGCAAGCCTGGCATGCTGTTTTCTGACCTCACTCTTCGCAACCATGAAGAAGCTCCAGAGTCTGACTTATATGTGGCGGGCTTCCCCTGCCAGCCCTTTTCAAGGGCTGGTAGGGGAGGCGGCTTCTTGGACCCTCGTGGTACAGTGTTTGGACACGTAGCGGCTTACATCAAAGCCCAGGGCCCGGCCCTGTACCTGCTGGAGAATGTACAAGGGCTTCTCTCGAACGATCATGGGCGCGCGTGGGAGACCGTGCTGCATACCTTGACAAGCCTCGAGACCAGGCATGGCTCCTCCTACGACGTGCACTGGCGCCTCTTGAACAGCAGAGACAACGGTGTTGCCCAGAATCGTCCAAGGGTGTACATCTTAGGCTTCAGAAGGGATGCCATTGTTCCAGGTGCGGTCTGGAATTGGCCGCGGCCACTGACATGTCCTCCTCTGGAACTCTTCCTGGACGACCGGAAGTCCTCTACGGTGCACGATGGGTCAGCTGAGCCTTGCATGATCAGGCAGCAGACTGCTGCAAAAGTACTACGTGTTTTGAGCTCGAGAGTGAAAAGGGCTGAGATCCCAGAACAGCTTGAGGTCGCGATGGACATCGATGCATCGCTGGACAGACCGCAGTTCATGGTCAATTGTTCGCCATGTCTTATACGGTCAAGACCGGCAGGATACTGGCTGCATAGACGCCAGCGCAGGATGACTGTGCAGGAGCGGCTACGATTGCACGGGATGAGTGACAGCCTTCCAATGGCAGTGGGCCCGGCCGCCATGGGAAGGCTCCTGGGCAACACGATGTCGCAATGTGTTTTGGAAAGGCTCTTGGTCAGGGCTTTGCCCATGGTGGGGTTAGCAGACCCACAAGAACTTGAGGATCGTTGGGAGGCGAGACGCGAGTGATGAAAAAGGGGGCGCATTCCGTAACTTGACATGTGGCCTGGCGCATCCTGGCACTCATGCTGGCTGACTATCTGTTGCTGACGTTGCTGCTTCTGTCTGCCATCCTGAGGTCGCAAGATGTCGCAAGTGCTCCTTCTTCGACCCGAGAGATCCCGCTGTATCAGGACAGGCTGCTCTCATCATCTCTCATCCAGCTGTTTTCCAGGCGGCTCAGATTTGAATGCATTGACAACCTCTCATGTTTGTGTTGCGCGTTGCTGCTGCCATTCCAGCCCTTCAGATGACAGCTGGATATGTTGCTTGCTGTTGTCACATTCACTGACAGTACTGACATATGGGACATCACATGACATATCGTGACATCACTGACGCATTCTTGGTGTATGTGTTCATGCTGGCGATATCATGCGATATCTCGTGATCACATGACGTCGCGTGTTGTCACTGGGGTGTGTCTCTCCTAGTCATAGGGAGGGCTGGGGTGGAGAGCTGCCGTGAGGGGGCTATCATGGCTGCTGCTCCGAGTGATGCGCCGAAAGCTCCGTCGTCTTGCCGTGTGGGAGTATGCGCCCGGGACACCGTTCATTGCAGCGTCTGGCATTACTAAGCATGTGCGCGGCTCCAACATGCTCCAACATGTGCAAGAGATTCGATGCCCCTGAGGCTGCGAGAACATGCAAGCTCCTGTTTATAACTCACGCTGGAAAGCGTGGGTTTCGACTTGCGCAGCTCAGATGCGTTGGAAGAGCTGATGCAAAGGTTGCCGGCACGCGTGTGGTGGCACGCTACTGAGGAGATGGTGACTTACTCGGCAGCTGGCAAGCCTCGTGCTAGCCATCACGTTGCAGTTTGGTTCCAGGGCAGCATGATGCAGCATGTTGTTGTATTCTGCTACTGCAGTTTCGGGTTGCTGTCTAGTCCCCCATCTGCCTGTCAGCTGAGGTGGCAGGATGAGTGGCATTGGTCTTCGTGCCTCACGAAACTCATTCGGACTCTCCAGGACATTGAAAAAGAAATGCGAGAGTGCTGATTATGTATATAGCGTTGCAGTATATTGCAGTCCTCAGCGCAGGAGCCATCTGATTCAAAGACATCGAAGGATGCTCTAGTGCCGCTGCAGGACATGTCACACACATCCTGCATGTCCTGCGATCCCATTTGTGCGCAGGATGGCGCAGGCGATGCAGACAAGGATTTGATGCCGCTTCAGGACATCAGTCGTTATTCATCTCACTGCTTTGTGCTGCTTTTGTCACGTCTGCCTATGTCTGCCTTGTCCTTCGCTTGGAGGACGCCCCTCCCATCCCTTCTGAGCATTCCGCGCCTTCAGATGCCCTGACGACAGAGGAGTCGCTGGTGGCAGCCGAGAGACATGACTTGCGTGTTTTGCGCTTGGAGGACACTTCTGGTAAAATCTCATCTCGGCCTTCTTCAGCTCCGCAGATTCAGAAGCCCGTGCACGCGCACGAGATACCAGCTGTGGGGGCCTCATCTCTCTGAGATTGAAAAGTCTTGAATAGTCTCATCTCAGATCACCTGATCCCCCAGAAAATGTTACCAGAGGGGCGGGGTACGTGCTGCCGCACCTGCCCCTGCCAGCATTCTGG